AAGCCCTCTGTAAGCTAAAATGGATTTAAATTTGTCCCCTTAGACAAACATTCAACCCCGGTCTACAAGGTCCCCTTGGACGAAGCAACCCATGGCCCGGTACGACGGAACCATGGGATCTTGATCGGGTCTATCATCCATTCCCCCACCATCCACTTTAAGCGCAAGATGGTGAAAATTTTTATTTTTAAATAACAAATATTCAAACTCCAAATTCCAAACATCTGAACTTTCAAATTCCCAACTTCCAACTTTTCTAAATACCCAAATCTAAACCCAATTTTCAAATCCAAATTCTACCAATATCCAATCTTTCCAATCTCAAATCCATTGCTGCTACTATATGCTAGATAACATGTATTCTATACGTATCTGATTGACGACTAGCCTTAATCGAAAGTTCTCTCTCGTGATCGGGAGGGGTAATTAACTATAGGGGCTTGCGCCTATAGGAAACCAGAACTCAGATTATAAAGTCCTCGCAAAATGAGGGCGAAATCTCTGGGTAGTGTCTTATCTACAAACCCATCTGCCTTCCAAAATTTACCTCGGAACTTAGTTCGTTAAAACTCCCTCGCCTAATAAGAAAAGCGAGTGGAGGCCGAGGCCGAATTTTCGGAGCCCACAAAGTGTTGATATAATATGTGCTCCCTAGGGTCCCTTGATTAACAAATAATTCCTATATTACTTCTACCATCTCAAACTCCACCTCTTACTAAACTTCCCATTATAATATATTTTCATCCACACTTCTAACCATGTTTAGATAACAAGCCATTAACTATCATCAGTTTCCTCTTATCATGATCATTTATCTTCCTATTATTATTTTTTAATAATATGGTAGGTCAAGAGTATTGTTATGAAAGTTTTTAGAAGAAGTAGCAGAAGATAGTATTATAAGTTATTAGGGAATCAACTATGATAGTGGAATTAAGCTATGAATTGAAACCCAAGTTCTCCCTAAGTGATGGGTAGTTTGATCGTTCATTAGGTTTCTCTTTGCTTTCTAGAAAAATTAAAAAGTGGTCCAATAGTTGGCACTAGGTGAAAAGTGATTATATCCATATTCTTACACGCACTCTTGAATATTATTTTCATCAAGATCCTTGTATTAAGTAGGATACTCCAATTTATAATTTACTATTTGCACATGATGAGTATGATGTAACTATAGGGATTCTCATACTTGTCTATCTATATTAGTAAATGTGATGGGTGCGACCTTAATATAGTGGTTATAGATGTACTCGTTCAATTCACCTCTATTGATTGATGTAATTTGAGGATAGCTTGCTAAGAAGCCTCTATTCCTACTCCTACAAGTATAACTACTGTAATATTGGCTCTTTGCATGGCATTGGTCGGAACAAACTCATTCCTTTGATCTTTAAAGGTCACCTTTCATCATCTTCTCCTATGGTATACCAAAATGAGATCCTTTAGTTTTTCAGATTTAATAAGCACTTCCACACAGTTCTAAAAGTATCATCAATCCTTCATGTCACGGTCATAATATTTATGGAATTCACAATACTTTATTGAACCTGTAATGTGAACTTCTTCTTTGATGGATAATGGACATTTGAAGTAATCTTTATTTTGGATATCCTGCACATGTTCGACCATGAATATTCTCAATGAAGTGATTGTAGGGTACTTTTGAGTTGGGTGTGTTCCTCCCTTCTTTTTCCATGGTGGTTACTATTCAATGTTTTCAAGCATAATATGAATTTGCAGTCATTGTTAGGTTTTCATATCCTTTGCTAATGCTTATTTTAGAATGCATTCTTCATTATCAGCTTCATTCTTTACTTGGAAATTGTAAAAATCATCTCCCATAGGTAAATCATTTGGGTGAATTTTCAAAGAGGCTACATATTCATGGTTGTGCTCCTTAACATTGATGTGAAAGTTGGTAAGATCTAGCAACTCAACTAACATTTATGTTTATTGTATTCCAACGACAAACCTATAAATTCCATCTCATATACCTTGAGTGAGGTTTGCTTGAAACACTACTAATTTTAGGGTTTTCACGTCCAATATCTTCCTTTGGAATTTTATGATGAAATTCTTCAGTGAATCATCAGACTCCTAACTCATTGTTAGTAAAGCCTGTAAGCTCTTTAGTGGCTTTTGAGCATTCGTGAATTACATGATCAATATTCATTTGAACTTGATAAAATTAGCTATATCTCTAAATGAAAGTAATGAGAATCACTAAAGAGATAATTCTTTGAATGTAGTGAATAACCACGAGACATATCAAGCATTATTGATATTAGACAAAGAGGTAATCAATTGACATATTCTTCTTGTTCCCATAGAATGTAGGTTGTTGTCGTTGTGAAAGTGCTTGAAGAAAATATGGGTATGACTTGTGATAGCGACCATATTGAGATGCATGATTTAAGTGGCAACAGAAAGACAAACAATGATGATTTAGTTGGTGGAATTTCTGATGGTGTTATTCAAAGTCTTGATTTAAAGGATAATTCCCTAGTTGTGGGATCGCGTTTTGAGGATTCATGCAGTTTCAAACAAATCATTCGTTCCAATCCAACTTTATATATCATTGTTACTTTCACTTTCCAATTCCATTTCATCAAGTAGATATAGAATAGCTTATGAAGGAGCAATAGGAACACTACCGGGGAAGGATTAGTGGTCGATACTTAGTGATGGAGAGGAGGTTGGACCTCCAATTTCAAGTAGGCCTCGTGGAGGACCAAAGAAGAGAAGAATGAAAAACTTCTTGGAAACTACAAAGAAGACAAAATTGAGTCATAAGTGTGGACGTTGCAACTCGTGGGGACACCATAGAAGCACCTGTAAGAACCATTTAAATGGTGACGGACATGGAAATGATGATGACTTTGAAATGCCGACAATATCTGCTCCACGTGAAAAAATGCCGATTAGGCGTGTTGATCGTCGCTGATAATCAACTATATCAAGCTTATATTTTGCTTCAGATTTTTGTAACATTTTGGCTTTCCCAGGTTTTTGTAACTTAGAAGCAAGATGAAGCTTGTAAAAGTGCTTTCTTTTGATTCAGAATTAATATTATAAGAGATGTAACATTTTGCTTACAAATTTTGTAATGGTGACGGACAAATTCTGTAATGGTGAGGGACATTTTTTTATGAAGCTTGTAATGGTGATGGACATTTTGGCTTTCCCATATTTAACTTCCCATTTTTTGCTTAAAATTTGATTCAGAAAATGAAAACTGAGATCGGGTCAATTGCTTACAAATTTGGATTCAGAATTAATATTTTCAGATTTTTGTTTTCCCAGGATCTTACAAATTCTGGCTCAGTTTTACTAATTCAAATTGCAATCTAAACAAAACTGTAATGCCGCAGATTTGCTTACCTATTATGGAGTAATGCCGCAGATAGTAGAACACTTGAGCGTCGGCTACAATTAATTACAGGTCGTAGATAGTAAAACTGAAGAAATTATATTTAACCATTTTAGCCTAACTTTTTTGGATTGGAGAAAACTAATTGTAGCAAGCAAATATTGAGATAACGACTCAGTATTCACGGCAAATTCATACAACAATTAAGCCAATATAACACATACATTTCGGTGAGAATTAAAATCACAGCAAATTCTACTCATTAATAGAAGTGTCGGTTACAACAATGAGAGTTACGAATATGCAAATTCAACTCATTTTCTAATATAACACTTCGATATAATCTTAAAGTCACCTACAAAAAGCAAAAGCACAATCGTACTCATTTACACTACAACACTTTGAACTCATATTCAAGTCAACTACAACAAGAAAAATTAAGATCACCAAAAACATTTTAATTTGAAAATAGTCATTTTTAACTGAGACAGCCTGGTTCGAACGAACTTCAGCTGCATTTGCAATTGTGAACTGATTCATTTCTTGTGATAAATTATTTCTTTCGTCGACCCACCTAAAAAATTGACAATCATCCTCTGATCTGTTACGCGGGCATCGATAGAATTTTCTGCCACGATTATTGGGTTTATAGCAAGTATAAATTGAACATTGTAGATTACAATGACAATATATAGGTATCTCCCGGTTTCGCATTGATATCGACGACCGCCTCGAACTCATTTCACAAATCGAAGATACCTGTAATTGCAAATCAAATATTTACAAATTTCATTTATATGAACAAAGCATAAATTATTAAACGTGATTTAGTCCGAGTGTGGAATGCACTGGTTTTATAGAGAAGCAAAATGAAAAACACATCTCTTAGCGTCATTTTATCAAACACCTGTCATGCAACATTCAAAATACTATTATCCCTACCGATTTTGGCCAAATAAAAAAGGGAAAAGCAAACACATATTAAGAGATAAGAAAACACATACTAAGAACACATACTCTTCAAAAAAAAAAAAAAAATCAGAATGAACGAACCGAAGAATGAAGAATGGGGATGGCGTGAAAACGAAGAATGGGGATACTTCACCGGCAAAGGAATGAGACGTGATGGTGTGCAAAAGAATGAGAGGCGATGACGTAGAAAATAGAAGATTTCACCTAGCAAAGGGAGGCAGCAACTTCGACTAGGGCTACTGAACCTTGCAAACTGAGCAGTCGAGCGGGATTTGATGGAGAGCGTGGAGAGAAGAGACGGAGTGGCTTTTTAGAAATGAGAATAAGTTTTTAGTGGTATGTGTGTAAATATCATAGTTTAGGTGTTAAATAAGTAAATATCCTAGTTTTAAGTGATATGTATGTAAAAATCCCTATATATATATATATATAATTTTAAATTAACACATTCTGTAATAATGATTAAATAATTTTTATGATTGTTTATTACTTCAATAATTTAGAATTAGAAAAACATAAATGAATATAGGCAAGAAGTCATGTAATTAAATATTTTTTCTCAATTTTTAAAAAATAAAATTTAAATTAAAAAAAACTTTATGTGCTTAAAAAATTTTGTAGTATTTATATACTGTAGTTTCCGATGAAACCCTTGTACTCCCAGATCACGTGAAATCATGCTCGAACTCTTCCTCGATCAGAATCGGAACATTGGCTGATGCCATCGGTATCGCCGGAACCCTAAATATCATCACGTTTCTTTTAGCTGGCGACTATGGATACTCGCGCAGCGCCTCAGGAGAAGGCGAAGTTGCCGAGGACTGACTACCGCCTCCATGCTGGCAGCGCTGCTACTCCCAGTCCCTCATCCTGGCTCGAAATTCGCCTATTCTACGTTCGCATCTTCCCTTGCGCTGCCGACGCCGTACCACCGAATCTCATGCTTTCCCATCTCCGACGTGATATCGGGGTCGCCCTTGAAATCAATGGTTCCCGTATCCCCTCTTGCGAGCCAACGTCCCTCGCCCTCCGCCGAGACCGCCTCGACTGCAGCGCCGGAGAGGTCACTTACCTCAGCACCGATGGCGTCCGGCTTTCTGGCTCCGTCGAATTTGAAGTTTGCGACGGAGACGGGAACCTCATTCTCTGCGGTTCTTTAGAGAATATGGAGGCGCCGGGGATGATTAGGACCATTAGCTTCGAAGGACACAGTGAATCTTGCTATGACCCAAAAGCCAGATGGAGAATGAACTGCTTCCCTGGGGCTTCGATCGCGTCGTCGGCCTTTGTACAGCCGAAGTTCGGAATTTCATCTCCTTCAATAGAGGTTTATGTTGCTGGATGCTTTGCGGGTTCCCCTTCGATCCTTACGCAGACGATTCAGCTTGGTCAGATAAAGAAGGTAGCAAGAACAGGAGCTTTGGACGCTATTCCGGAAGACAAAGAGGCTAGCTATAATCCAGTGAGGTGTAGAGATGTATTTTCGTGCAATAGGAGCTCCTTATCAGTAAGAATTGTTTATTTCTAAAACTGAGTTTAGTTCTTGTTAATTTAGAATCTCATTCTAAATTTTTTCAACGGGGATTTACTTACCACTTCATGTATTGACAATTTTAATATCTAATACGTAAATATTTAAATCATATAAAAAATATCACTTATATTAATTTTTTAAAGTGAAATAAGTCTTTTCATTTATATATTTTGGTGTTTAAGAGATTAAAGTGTATTGTAAATAGATATAAAAACTTTCGCATTAGATATATAAATAAATAAAAATGATGCCGTGTGCATGTAAATTCCGCATTTTAAGTATGAGGTGCATCAGAAGTACTTCAGATGCTGATTTATTTATTACTTTTATTTAAATGTTGCTCTAATGTGCCTTTTTATCCTTATTTTGGTTTAAGTTGTTTGATTTTTCTAGAAAAAAATGGCATGGAAATGCTCATATTCATAGAAGCCGACTTTACTTTTAAAATTTAAGACGAGCTGAAATAAGAACATTCAGTGAATTTTTAGAGAGGCGGTCAACATGGAAGTGTATGACACTTCATTAACTCTTGTGTCCAACAAATTTCACGTAGGTAGCTGTCAAAATCATTAAAATAAAACTGTGCTTATTATGCTAAAGATGAGACGCTTTATAGATCACAATTGAGAGAAATGATTCATGTTGCGGAGTCCGCATAGTGGGATAAAGGCTTGTTGTTGTTGTTGTGTTAAACTAAAGATGAACAAAGTTTTATGTTAATACAGCTGAATATTGATTTTATGCTTGAAATCTGTTATTCTACTATTTGAGTGTCAGAACTGGATCAATTTTGTGATGAATGCTATCTGTTTAGACAGTTGCACAAACTCCTAGCTTGAAGTACTAAACAATCACTTTGGATTATTTTTGTATTATGATTAAGGGTTTTTGAAAGAGACGCTCATCAAAGAATTTGTGCAATTAATTGAATTTCTCTCTTTTTTTAATGTTTTGAATGTTGATTTGACAATCAAATTCATGTTGATTTTTTTTTAAATATTGATAATGCATTCTAGTTACTCCTACTGAGACGTCATTAGATCTACTCCTTAGTCATCATGTTTCAACGGAGGTTTGTAAAACTTGTGGCACAGTTAAGAAAATTCATATGAAGGATATGAGTTTGACATGCTGGCTAAAAAGTAACTTCAGAACAATTGTTGAGCTGTAAATGAAGTGTCTATCTTTCAAGAAAAACTGACTTTTGGAATTAAACGAAGTAAAGTGAACTTTTTGGTGCATTCCTAATTATCAGATTTGAGGAGGTCTGGGCTTCTTATCTGCATCCGTTGGGGTAGTGAGAGCATCTTGGAATAAAAAGACTGGTGGAAACTATGCAGAGACTCTCAATTATAAATTTCGTAGATCATTGAAAGCTCTTTTTTATTGGAGCAAAGCTAAACACAAGGAATATGATCAACAAAAGAGTCTCTTAAAACCAAAATTTTGGAGTTGCAATCAAAGGAATCAGAAGTCGGATGGCTGTCAAGGGAAGATATCTCACTTCTTTGATCTTATATTAGTGAGTTAAATTCTGTTTTGGCTCAATTGAATACTTTGTGGAAGTAGAGAGCCAAGGTAAAATGGATGACCGAGGGAGATGCAAACTCAAAGTTCTTTCATTCCTATGCTTCGGCCAGAAAAAAATTCAAATTGGATTTTTAAAATAAAAGATGCTAATGGTTCGGTAGTTGAAGACTCTAATATAATCTCTGAAGGCTTTCTAAGTTTCTTCAATGGAAAATGGAAGTAATGGAAGAGTTATCTAATTGGTTGGCCGATTCCCAATTGTTCACTTGATGAAAATGTTAGAGAATTGTTGATTAAAGAGCTATTTATGGAAGAGTTGGAAACCGATGTGAACCAAGTTGGAGAAAGTGTTTAACCAGGTAATGACGGAATTTCATACTCATTTCTTAAAACGTATTGGAGCATTATTAAAATTGATTGCTGGAATGCCATCAACCATTTTTTCCAATCAGGAAAGATGAATATGGACTTGAAAGAAACTTTACTTGTACTTATTCCTAAGATTTTAAATCCTGCTGTACCGGGCCAATACAGGCCTATTAGCTTGTGTAAATCTGTTTACAAAATTTTGGCTAGAATATTGTTAAACAGGATGAAGCTTTTGGTTCCAAAGTTAGTTTCAGTGGAGCAAGCTACTTTTGTCAGTGGAAGATCTTTAGGAGATCATATTCTTGTGGCTCAAGAGGTTTTTCAAAAGTTAAGGACTTCTAAGTCTTCAAAAGGACTTGTTTCATTTAAAGTTGATTTAGAACAAGCATATGATAGCATGTGTTGGAAGACCTTAAGACAAGTATTGGAATATTTTGGATTTCCTGACAAGTTTTCTTTATGGATTATGGAGTGCGTAGAAAATCCTAAATTTTCTTTGATTATTAATGACAAAATTTCGAACTAGATTCATGCAAAGAGTGGATTCCGTTAAGGATGTCCACTTTCTCCTTTTTTGTTCATTCTATGCTCTCAGCTGCTTGCTAATGGGCTGATACAGAAAGAAGAATCATTGGGTATAAAAATGGGTAGTAATGTGCCAAAGATTACTCATCTTTTATATGCAGACGACATCTTAATTTTTTCTCATGCTAAAGTCAGTAAAGTGAAGGAGATTAAAGTTTTATTATCAGACTTCTGCAGCTGGACAGGTCAAAACATTAATGTGGAAAAATCAGCAATTTTGTTTGGCAAGCATGTTAAAAAGAGAACAAGGAAATCAATTGAACGGATCATGAGGTTTATGGTGGTGAAGGAGTTCACGTATCTTGGTGTTAAGATAGCACTAAGAAGGTTAGTTGCTGCTGATTTATATTTCTTAATTGAGAAAGCTTTAAAGGTAATTGGAGTATGGGGAAGCAAACTTTTGTCTCTGGCAGGAAAATTCATGTTGATAAGAACGGTTTTGCTATCTATTCCTTTATTTTATTGCTCTTTTTCTTTAATCCCGGAAAGAATTCTAAAAGAATTAGATAAATTGATTAGGGATTTTATCTGGAATAAACAAGATGGGAAGTCGGGTCTGCACTATGTTAGCTGGAATGATCTATGTAAACCAATTAAAGATGGAGGAAGAGGTCTTTGTTCGTGTGTGAGTGTTGTGGGACCTTTGAGAGCAAATTTGGCTTGGAAGGTAATTCAAGACAAATGTTCCATGCTGTAAAATTTTTTAAAACAAAATATGGCTCATATGGTGGCCAAATTGGTTATGGGAGAGGAGCAACATCCACTTGCAAAATCTTGTTTTTTTGTAAGAAAGCTTTGGAATCTGTAGTTAAGTGGAGAGTGGTTAACGACTATTCCATTGATATCTTGGAAGATATATGGATCCTAGATAAAAGTTTAAACAAATGGCTTACATATGTTTCGGTTCCAAAATCTGAAAACCATACAGTAGACAATATAATTTTCAACGGTGAATGGAACTATCTGAAATTACAAACTTTATTTGGAGAGGAGATTATCAGACTTATTCAAAGGTTGGAGATTCAAAGAGATCAAGAAGAAGATAATCTGGAGCTCATTCATCAAAATTCAGGTTATTCAATTTCTTCTCTGGTTTATAAGGCTTCTGTAATGGAGAATGTGGAATGTTGGTATTGGAAATGCTTAAAAATAATCAAATTAAGCTCTAAAGTGGAGGTATTCTGGTGGCGGGTCTTTAATAATGCTATTCCAACTTTCTATTTTTTATATCAGAGAAGAATTCAAAGCTTATTTGGATGTCCTAGGGGATGCGGTATAACAGAGGATATTGATCATTTGACGGTTAAATGTGGAAAATTGAAGGATGTTTTTGGTTACATTAACATATGGGGATTTGGATTCCAGTTTTTTGAATTCTTTCAAGATTGCCGGAGATGGATGGAGAAGTATAGTAAAATTCATGGTTTCCTCATCAATATTTATTGTAATGCTGTTTATCTAACATGGAGATCAAGGAACAAACTAGTACATGACGGAAAGGAAGATAGTTTATGTTCATAGCTTCAAATGCTGTAAGTTGTGCTTCCATTTGTTATATGAAGGATGGAAGATTGGGACACTGGGGTACTAATCAGTCTTCTAGACTGTCGGATTGTTGGTATCCTCCTCCTCCCAACTGGATTAAGATTAATGTAGATGCTTCTTTGTTACAATCATATAAGGCTGGTATTGGAGGGGTAGTTCGGGACAACAAAGGAAGATTTTTATTGGGCTATGGTAAATCATGCATTCTTTGGGATATATCTAATCTAGAACTCATGGCGGTTAAAGTTATAGAGGAAATCATGAATGATTGTATGCTATATTATCAAGGTATCATTGTTGAAGGTGACAACTACAATGTCATCAAGCTTTTACAGAAATTGGGAGGTAAATGGAGAGATGAACTGTTATTTGTCAAGGATCATAAATTTATTTTCTTTAATTGGGTGAATAGAAGATGTAATAAGTTAGCGAATTTTTGTGCTAACTATGCTATTCTTAGGGATTTCTTTTGGGATGATTTATCTTCAAATAATGTTCCTCCTTTGTTTGCTAAACTTTTAAAGGAGGAATCAAATTGTTTTTAGTTTGAAATTAGGCTTTCCTTTTAATAATGGTATCAGCAATTTGATTGCTTTTAATATATATATATATAAGGATGACATAAGTTAAAAGATTGTAGTCTGTAGGATATAGTGCAGTGGGGTCACAGTTTTCAATATATTAGATATACATATAGCGGCCTCTCATACAGGCCAACATGCACATGCCAAATGCATGAATGTACAAATAGAAATTCATATGCATAGGCATGTCAAACACGTGCACATGCAGAAAGCATAATGCATATATATATATATAGATCAAATTGTTGACTTTCCTACACAATTTCACTACAAAGAAGCAAATAGTTACATGTTCACACTTATAAACCTAATGTTAGTATCAGTTTTCTTGATCATTAAACATGAAAATAGGATATGGGC